CTCTCCGAGGGAACCTTAGTTGTCAACTGTTTTATCATCATGCAAGATTTGTTTTTCCTGATTCATTTGCGTAGGCGGCCGCTGAGACCCATGCAACCAATGATAACATCAACTTACTTCTTTGTCCAAATTGTTATCACGCATTTTTTTAAAACGCTTATCTTTCTTTCTGTTGTTTTCATTTGTATAACTTTTCCATCTTTACTTCTTTTTCTTTTCTTTTTTTTTTGCTCCCTTCGATATTGATAAAATAAAACGACAATATAAAGATCTATTATTTTATATCTTTTCTACCTTTATTCTCTTCTTACTACTTTACTCCTCTCTTTCTCTTTTTCCATCTTTCGATATTAGTAAACAACAACTGTGTGTTTATTACCTTTAACGTTTTCTTCCCCCGAAAATTTTCTCATACTTTCTTTCTACATACGCAGGTTTATAAAATAAATAAATAGATAAAATAAATAAATAGATAAATAAATAAATAAATAAATAAATACACAGCCTATACATCGATCCTTCTCTCTGTTTCTGCATCTTTCTCTCCATGCAATCATTATAATATAGACGCCTGTCTCATCTCTCACAGAGCCCATTGTTTCGAAAACCAGGAAGCTTAAGCTCAAGAACAGCCCAGTCATCCCAAGGTCACTAACTAGGATACCTGCATAGTTCACTGTATTCCCCTCAGTACATGTTCCTCCATACCTGTACGGTTCACAGCTAGTCCCTCAGGGTCATATCAAGTTTATGTCTCGACAGTTCACCTTGGGCTCAGCGATGGTATTAACCCTCGCTATCTACCCACTCCCCCCCACACACACACACACACACACACACACACACACACACACACACACACACATACACACACACATACACGCATGCATACCCTCTCTCTCTCTCTCTCTCACACACACACACACACACGAATACGCACACACACACGCATACACACTCACACACACACAAAGACACACACACATACACACACATACACACATAAACACACACACACACACACACATACACACATCCCCCCTTCCCCGGACAAGCTTTGACCACCACCTGTTGTATGTGTGGTCAACTATAAATGTGTCCCGACGTGGTGGAATCAGGTGCTCGTCAATTTGTGGCCATAATGAGTTATTGGTACCATCATAAAGCTTGTTCATTTATTGTCTATCTTTTGATGAAAAAAATTCCAGTCTATCTTGAAAAGAAATCGAGGTATTTTGGATTGAAAGAAGTAAGGGTCGCCTGATTTCAGAGGCAAAATTAATGAGAAAATAGACCCCAAAGTTTAATGATTTCCAAAGCTTGAGAGCCTTTGGAAACTGTAAATATACAATTCGCATGGCTTTAATCAAATCTTTTCAATAAAATCCACACAGCAATATGGTTTAAATGGACAGACAATGTGTTGGGTAAAAAAAAATTTAATTCGATAAAAATTACCAAATAGATTGAAAAATGCTAGTTTCTTAAATTTCATAATTTTGACGAGCACCTGATTTCACCACGATGCCTCACAAATGTTGTGGTGACTCGACAGGTCAGAAAGGTCAGGTAACGCGAGACCCGACCCCCCCCCCCTCCCCTCCCCTCTCTCCCCCTCTCCCCCACTCCCCAGTAAGCCACGGAGCTAAACAGAGGTACACTGTGTACGCGAAGGATATGGCGGGTATATCTACATCGTAGACCTAGGGCAGTGGACACTGTTGACCTACGATAGTGGAGAATCAAACTGCACCAGTGTGTGATTTATGTAGTGTACGTTCAAACTATACCGGTAAGTGACTTAAATAGTGAACATTCAAACTATACCTGTAAATGACTTAAATAGTAGACATTCAAACTATACCTGTAAATGACTTAAATAGTGAACATTCAAACTATACCTGTAAGTGGCGTAAATAGTGGACATTTAGACTATACCTGTAAATGACTTAAATAGTGGACATTTAGACTATACCTGTAAATGACTTAAATAGTGGACATTTAGACTATAATACCTGTAAATGACTTTAATAGTGGACATTTAGACTATACCTGTAAATGACTTAAATAGTGGACATTTAGACTATACCTGTGAATGACTTAAATAGTGGACATTTAGACTATAATACCTGTAAATGACTTAAATAGTGGACATTTAGACTATACCTGTAAATGACTTAAATAGTGGACATTTAAACTATACCTGTAAATGACTTAAATAGTGGACATTTAGACTATACCTGTAAATGACTTAAATAGTGGACATTCCAACTGTACCGATAGGTGACTAAAGTAGTGGACATTCAGACTGTACCTGTAAATGACTTCTTTAGTTTTAGTAGATATTTTACGGCGCTCACAACTGCATAAGGTCATATGAACGCCAGAAGATTAGAGCAGTGGTTACAAGACAGTAGCAAACATAAAAAAGAAGAAGGGGAGATAAGGACGATATATGTTTGATAGGAAAGAAGAAGCAAACCACACCAGAGCACCCGCTAACCACCCACTGTAAGTGACTTAAACAGTGGACATTCAAATTATACCTGTAAGTGACTTGTGTGTTGAAAAACTGACGGATTGTGATTGTTTTTGTTTTTTTTAAACGCGTTAGACATAATTATGTGATTAATAAATGTTTCATTTCAGCGAACATCGACACATGGAGACAGCTTTCTTGCGTGTGGGGAAAAAAAACGAGACAAAACAAAAAAAAACCCAAAAAACCCAGCCCCCCCCCCCCCCTAAAAAAAACCCAAAACCCCCCGCAAAAAACAACCATAACAGCAGCAATACAACAAAAAACAAATTGTCATTGTACATCGATTCTCCTTTCATGTTTGTAATCCGATCCCGAAAATACCTGCATGTTTGCCGGACTATTTACATGAGGAAACTGTAATAAGAAGCAACTTTTTCTTGGGAGTGTGTGGTTGTTTTTTTTTGGGGGGGGGGTTTGGGGGGGTGTTCCTTTTCGTTGTTTTTGTTTTGTTTGGTAAGTGTATTACAGCCCTCGCAATTGCATAAGGTCATAAGAGCGCGCGGGACACATTAAACATTATCCATTGGTAAGAAATTTTGAATGTTGCCCTTGTGGCGACCGAAGGATACTCTTATCGATTTTGGACTACAAAAAAATCTTTAACGTGCGCAACTAGCACACGGGACCTCCGAGATTTTTCGCCCATATCCGAGAAGGCTGGGTTTAGATCTTACCGTTACGTACCATAAAACCAGGAATATTTTTGAATGACAGCAGTAAGAAGGAGGCAAGGAGTAGCAGTAGAAAAGCGAGGTTTACATCTCCCAGTATACCCCTCACGTCATAAAACTAACAATAGGCCACTGCGCTCTCGGGATAGAGAGAAAAGAAAAAAAATATACATTAGATTACTCTTTTTACCCTTGTTTTTTTCTTTACTTTTTTTTTTACCCTGAGCCTTAGCGTGCGTAGTGAAGCCGTGACATGTGGCTACCTCAGAATTACAAAGTCCTATCTGGCTTTTTGAACCGTTTTGAGTTACAAAGACCATTGGATCAGAAATAAAATGTTGATGTTCTATCTGCTCTATCAAAATCGTAAGAGTTTTCGGAGTCGTTATCAAGATATTTCAAGATTTGCATTCGAAAAAACTTGACTTATTGTGAGACTCAAAATTTTTACATCAAGTTCCTTTTCTTTTTTCTTTCTTTTTTTTTTGTAAGTGTTTTTCGGCGCTCGCAACTGCTTAATGTCATATGAGCACGCAGGACACATTAAACTTTTTCAGTTGGTAGGAAATTTTGAATTTTTGCCCGGGTGGCGACCTAAGCCTACTCTTATCGATTTTAGACCACCAAGGGATCTTTGACGTACGAAACTTGCACACGAGCCCTCCGAGATTTTCGCCCTTGTCCGATTGTCCGATTGTCCGAGAAGGCTAGATGTAGATCTTTCCTACACCACGGTGTGACTGAAAGACCGCAGTAAGAAGAAGCCAAGGAGTAGCAGTAAAAAGGCTGCAGAAAGAGTCAGGAGCCCAGAGGAGGGGGCAAAGGAGGTGATGGGGTGGGGGCAGAAAGAGGAAGCAAAAGCAGACAACAGAACATTGCTAGAGAGCAGGAAAAGGGGTGGAAGGAGACAAACACCATCACCTCTAGGCCACGAGAGCCCACGTCAAAGTTCTCAAAACTAGGAACTGAGCAGAAAGACTATGTCATTCTAGGATATCAACGTGAGAGAAAGGTTTGTTTTGTGAGAAAAACGGTCAAATCCTGACAGGGGGCTCTCGTGGCCTTAGAGGTTAAGGTGTTCGCCTCTCATTCAAAGGTCCCGCATTGGAGGGACAAATCACTGTTATATGTGGCGTACGTGGACAACAGAAGCTGTATGCTGTTGTGTTCTGTACTGTACTCTCTGTACCATGCAACTATCCTGAGAGGTCAATAACACCAAGAGAGGTCAATAACCTCAAGAGAGGTCAATAACCTCTCGCCCTTCCTGAATGTTGAAAGGTTATCACAAGTTCATGTTGGACGAGTTTCTATTATTTTTATCATCATCATCATCATCATCATCATCATCATCATCATCTCTTAAATAACCTTATAGTGTTGATAGGCGGCGACAAACCTTTACACTTATACTTTTTACTATAAAAAATTTGTTTCTTTTATATTTCATGTTAAATGTTCTTTCTGGGCTAAGCGCATTTCTTGAGTTTACAGACGCCATGTCTTGTTGCCTCAGGTAATCCAACAGTACAGGATGACCAGTGTCCAGTCCCTGGCCGTCTGGCTGACCCCTTCCTATGGCCTGGCTTTGCTGACCACTCTCCTCCTGGCCTGGCTACTTGTGTCCACTCTACTGACCGGTCGGGGCAAGAATCTACCCCCTGGGCCCAGGGGCTGGCGCGCTATCTACAGCATTGTCAAGTAAGTTGGGAAATACAGCAGAGTTGAAACTGTCTAAGACGGGCATCCATTGTCAAGTAGTTAAGGTGTAGCAAAATTTAAAATGTCTAATATGGGCATCCATTGTCAAAGAGGTTGAGAAATAGTAGAATTAAAACTGTCTAAGACGGACCCTTATTGCAAAGTTAATTGGGAAATACAGTATAGTCGAAAATGTACAAGACGGACATCCATTGTCATTTATGTTGAGAAATAGTAGAATTAAAACAGTCTAAGACATGCATACATTGTCAAGTAGGTTTGAGAAATTATAGTAAAGTCTAATACGGGCATCCATAGTCAAAGAGGTTGAGAAATAGTAGAATTAAAACTATCTAAACCGGGCACCCATTGTCATGTAGGTTTGAGAAATTATAGTAGAGTGGAAACTGTCCAATGCCAGCATCCAATCTCATGTAGATTGAGAAATAGTAGAATCAGAGCTGTCCTAGACGGCCACTTATTGTCACGTAGGTTAGGGGAGATAGTATTATGTCAACACTGTTCAAGACGGCTATCAATAATTTGTCGAGAAGATTGGGATATACATGTACGATCGACATTGTCTAAGACGGACACCCATTCGCAAATAGACTGGGAAATAGTACAGTGAAAACTTGTCCAAGACGGCTATATGTTGTCGAGGAGAAAAATGTTTGTCTGAAACAGGTGCACATATTGGACGGTGTGAAAAAATGGTGAAATGGTAGAAGTTTAACTCCCCTATCATCACCATTAGGTTATTTAAGGGGCGGGACCTCCGAGTTTAACGCCCGTCTCCGATAGGACCGAACCAAGTGGGAAGTTCGTGTAAAGTGCCTTTCCCAAGGACACAACGTCGGACCGAGCTGAGGCTCGAACCCCCGAACTCGCAATCTCACGATTACGAGTCCGGTAGCCTAACCACTAGGCTACCATTGGACAGTGTCATATGATAAAGAAAAACGCAAGGGGATGAGCGGAAACAATTATTTGCGTTATACGGTAAGTTTAGAAAAACAAGTATAGAGATTTAAGACATCTATCATCCCCTTCAAAGATCTACACCTAATCCTCTGCTACAATTACTGCCAATGTTCACCCATGTTGGTATTGTCTGTCAGTTGGGATAGGCTCTTCGAGTGCGCTCAAAAACAAATCCATCAACGTTTGACTGAATTAAAGACGCATTACGGTGACACCCTTCGCCGCCTGGCTGCGCACAATTGTGGAATCCCCTTGTGTGCTGAACAAGTTAACCTATTGAACATGTGACTCTGATATGGTCGCTTTTTAGGACAAGCGGGCTGACCCAAATTTCGAGGGTTTACAGAGAAATCTTGACCTACACCAACAGAGGGCATTGCCCTACCTTTAGGAGAAGTTTGGTTTAATTGGTGAGTATATTTGTTTGTTTGTAGATATAACTCTCCTTGTATTTTAAAGAAACTGAACAAGGGACAAAAACTTTACCTTCGGTTTTCTCAAAACAGCATTTTTCGTGATAGCCCCCTTGTGCTGAAAAGCGACCATTTAGGTTTTTAAGTTTTTTGTCCCAACCCCGAAGTACCGAGATATCGGTATGTGATATTCTACTAAAAAACAGGAGTCCATATTTGGATTTTTAAAAAAAGGGGGGAGGGGGATGACGCCAAAAAGCCTCACAAGTTCGTGGTAACTATCGAAACAGTCAAGACAGCTCGAAGAAGAGCCGATTTGTTTGAATAAACTTTTGTGTCTTTTGTGTGTTGCCATGTTGGCATTATTTCTACTCAGGAAGCCAGAGGACAGGGTCATTTTCTCTCTCTCTCTCTCTCTCTCTCTCTCTT